CCCATGTCCCCATTCCCAGGAGCAAAGGGGGTTTCTGGGCAGCCTGGACTCGCCGCAAGGTGAGTGCGAGTCTGGGACGCCCCTGCAGCGGGACAAGTTCATGACACACTGCCCAGGAGTCGGGGGACGGGGACGGAGTGGTCCCAGGGGGTGTGTGTGTTGGGGGGGGCTGCCTTGTCTCCCAGCTAACGCAGCCCTGCAACACCCGCGCGGCAGAGGACGCAAAATTTTCCTCCATCCGAGGACCAGGGCAGGAAAAAAAACCAAACCAGGAGTCGCCTCCCCAGAGCCCCCTGTCCCCAGCATGCTGTGACAGCAGGGATGCGTCCAGCCCCAGGAGCGAGGGGTCCACGACCCATCCCAAAGCCGCACGAAGGACCCTGCTGCCAGCAGCCCCCCTCTCCCCCACCGCCCGCGCGCCAGCAGCTCTTACAGGGCCAGAAATCAACACCCAACAGCACTTCCAACCCTCCAGCCCCGACTGCCCTCCCTGTCCCCCATCCCAAAACCCCATCCCCAGGATGGGAGAGTGCCAGCAAAATAAATCCCCGGCAATAATCTAATGCGAGTGCGCTGCCCCGACGACAAAGTGCCGCCAGAGACGCAAGTGCATTATTTTTATTTTTTTCTCTCTCTTTTTTTTTTTTTTTTTTTTTTTTTTCGCCCCCGAAAGGTTTATTTTTTTAAGAGCTATTTATAGCACGACCGGTTTGGAGAGGCTCGGGGTATGCGACCTGGAAAAAATAACTGGGAGGAACAGTACCCTGCAGAGGAACAAGACAGCTAAGCCTCGCCTGGGCACACGGAGAAACGCTTTGGGTGACAGGAGTGTCCTTGTTTTCCCGGCCGGGGACGCTGCCGTGGCACTGCCAGGGCCCTGCTGCCTCTTACAGTCCTTGCTCCCGCGTCCCTCTCCCCCGGGACGGGCTGTCGCACGGCTGCAGGGAGCCCGGTGGCACTCGTCCTCCCGTCCTCCGCTGTTCCACGCAGTCCGGGGATCGCGAGACCCGAGCTGGTTATTCGGGAGGGTCTTGGGCGATGCTGGCGGCCGTGCTCGTCCCACCGCCGGGTGTGTGGGGGGTCATCCTTCGTGCTTGGGGGTCCAGTGCATCGGTGAGGGGCACCGGGCGCTTCTGGTGCTGGGGGT